CCATCTTGTCAAATCTTACCAGGGAAATCTCTCATACCTGGCACTATCTCAGAATCCTTTCTTCCTACCGAATGTCCCACCTCCTATTTCCTAAGCTATAGCCTATCAGTTTTATTATTGACAGGTGTAACATCCATATAGACTCAAGATATTCTCTCTATGATTCTCTTTTTTGTTTGTTTGTTTTTTGAGACAGGGTTTCTCTGTGTAGCCCTGGCTGTCCTATAACTCACTCTGTAGACCAGGCTGGCCTCGAACTCAGAAATCTGCCTGCCTCTGCCTCCCAAGTGCTGGGATTAAAGGCGTGTGCCACCACTGCCCGGCTCTATGATTCTCACTAGAAGACCACATATAATGTTTTTGTTTGTTTGGTTTGGTTTAATTTTTTTGAGATAGGATTTCTCTGTGTAGCCCTGGCTGTCCTGGAACTCACTCTGTAGACCAGGCCTTGAACTCAGAGATCTACCTGCTTCTGCCTCTCCAGTGCTGGGATCAAAGGCATACTGGTTCCTCCTATAACCTTGAAAAGACTTTCTGTGGATCATCTCTGACAATCTGGGGAAGGCATGAATGAAATATTTGAGTTCTATCACTGTGACTTATCAAGATGGAAACTGAACTGGACTGTGGCTCAGTGTAAGAGCACTGGCCTTGGCATACACAAAGCTGAGCTCAAGCCCTGGCACCACATAAACCAGATGTGATAGCAAACACAATACCAGAACTCAGGAAGTGGAGGCAGGAGGATCAGCAAGTCATACTCTTCCTTCTACATAGTGAGTTGTTCTAGGCTAGCCGGGGCTACATAAAATCCTAACTCAATCGGGGGCTGGTGAGAGACATCCTAAGTGGAAGATGCAGAGGAGTGTCCCTGAGAGCTCTCGCTTGCCCTGACCCCTTTCTCCATCCCCACTCTGCTTCCTCTGGAAGGAAGTGAACATATCTGCTCCAGCAGACCCTTCTGTAATGGCATTCTGCCTTACCCCAAGCCCAGAAACAATGAATTCAGCTGATCATGGACTCAACTTCTGACCCATTAATCACAGTGACTCTCGTTCCTTAAGTTGCCTTAGGTATCTGTCACAGTGACACACTGACATAAACACAGTATGTATACATACACATGTCTAACACATGTATATTTATATTGGCTGAGTTGCCTGTATCTAAAATGCTTGTGAGCAATACTGTTCAATATATCAGAATAACTCACAGTTCAGTCAGGGATGAATCAGTGCTCCAGTATTTTCATAACCTGAAATCTCCAAATCTGAAGTATCTGTCCCCAACAACTAAGTATTAGCCCAAATGTCCATAGTGCTTAGATGGAAAAACATGGCTAAACTATAAAATGGCATTTCGTGAGAAGGAGCTACAGACTATTTTGAGATTAACTTTTCTTGGGCAGGAGAGATGGATGAGAAGGTAAGAGTGCTTCCTGCTCCTCCAGAAGACTGACCTGTGTTCAGTTCCCAGCACCCACACTAGGCAGCCTACAACAGCCTGTGATTCCAGTTCCAGGGATCCGGTACCCTGTTCTGTGCTCCTTGAGCACTCGCACCCATGTGGCATACATTCATACACACAGTCACACGAGGGAACAAAAATGAAAAGAAATTAGACTTTTCACACTGACAATGATTGTAGATTGTATCCTAGAAGGCACATACAAGCTCTGTTTCAATAAGCTAGGAATGGTGGTCACACCTTTAATCCCTGAACTTTGGAGGCACAGGAAGATGGATCTCTGTGAGTTCAAGGCCAGTCTGGTCCATACAATGAGTTCAAGTCAGATAGGGATACACAGTGAGACTCTGCCTTTAAAAAAATCAAAATATATTTCAAAACCAGTAATAAGTACCAAGAGTATTATTAGTTTATTTTTCCAAAGTGACTTCTCATGGACCTAACATATTCAAATATATGGGCCTGTAGGGGCCATTCTCATTCAAAGTGTGTGTGTCTGTGTGTGTGTGTCTGTAGATAACCAGGCTGTATTCTCTGAGTTATCACGACTGGGTGCACATGCATGTGAATGCAGGTATCTAGAACAGGACATCAGATCCCTTGAAGCTAGAGATACAGGTGGTTGTGAGCCCCTCTATATGGGTCCTGGGAACTAAATTCATTCTCTAGAAGAGCAGCACAGGGTCTTTAAACACTAAACCATCTCTCTGGTGCCACCTAGAGCCCACTCGAGTCTCACCTGGGGGGAGGCCCGGTCCAGTGCTCTTTGCAGAGTTCGCGCCAAGGCCGCAGCCTCCTCCCCGCTTTCAGGGCAGTGGTCCCGCACGTAGGCTTGGAGCTCCTGGGGCAGGATGGTGAGGAACTGCTCCAGCACCAGCAGCTCCAGGATCTGCTCCTTGGAGCGCAGCTCCGGCCTCAGCCACCGCCGACAGAGCTCCCAAAGACGGCTCAGTGCCTCTTCGGGGCCGGCCACTTCCTGATAGCGCAATTCCCTGAACTGTTTTCGAGAAGTTTCGGGATTCTGCCAATCTCCGGAACCGGAGGACTCCTGACTCCCCGGAGAGTCCTCCTCCACTTTCACCGTACAAAGCCCAGCACCGAAAGGTGGCGGGGCGACCCCAGAGCCCGCAGCCATTGGAGCTTCTGGACCGTCCAGTTCGAGCTTGTTTTCTAGAAGGGCAAAGCCCAATGACCTCACGGACCTTTTCTGAAACCGAAGCGGACTGGTACCCTCTCCCAAAAACGAGGCCGGGAAAACGCCACTACGGACACAGCACACCCGCGAACACGGCCTTTTTAGTTCTCATTTCGGCAGCTGACAGAAAAAAAAAAAAAACAAACCGGGCCGGAAGTGCGTCATTACCCCCTCCTCTGGGAATAGGCCTCGCGTTTGCACGGTCTCTCTAAGCGCCCTGGAGGACTAAGATGCATCTCTATGGTTCGCCTTCCTTATTGCACTAGACCGGCCTCCAGGCCACGTCCTATGGATGGATGGACGGATGGATGGACAGACAGACGGACGGACGGGGAGGCCTACACAGAGAAAAAGAAAATCTGTCTTGAAAAATCACCAAAAATAAATAAAAGATGGACTGGAGAGATGGTACAATGGTTAAGGACACAGGCTGCTCTTGCAGAGGATCTGGGTTCAATTCCTGGCTCCCACAACATGGTGCAGGCCAAACAGCCATAAATAAAATAAAACTAGATATATCTATTTTAATTATTTAAAAATTGTTTTTGAGCTGGGCGGTGGTGGCGCACGCCTTTAATCCCAGCACTCGGGAGGCAGAGGCAGGCGGATTTCTGAGTTCGAGTCCAGCCTGGTCTACAGAGTGAGTTCCAGGACAGCCAGGGCTACACAGAGAAACCCTGTCTCGAAAAACCAAAAAAAAAAAAAAAAATTGTTTTTGATTCTTCGAGACAGAGTTTCTTTGTATAATCCTAGTTGTCCTGAAACTGCTCTGGAAACTAGACTGCCCTGGAACTCAGAGATCCGCCTGCCTCTGCTTCCCCAGTGCTGGATTTAAAGGCTTGTGCCACCACAGACAGGCAAAATAAATAAATCTTGTTTAAAAAACAAAACAAAAGCAGAGTTTAGTTCCGACAGCACAGGGGCAAGCACACTTACTCTAATCCCAAGGGATCTGACTGCCCTCTTCGGCATCCTGTGGCCACTAGGCACACTTGTGATGCATAGACAAGGTGCAGGCAAGATAGGCTTTTAATCTCATCACTCAGAAGGCAGAGTCAGGTGAATCTCTCAGTTCGAGGTCAGCCTGGTCTAGAGAGCACGAACACAGAAACCCTGCCTCGAAAAACAAAAAAATTTGAAGTGGCGAGTAGTGGCACACACCTTTAATTTCAGAAATCGGAAGGTAGAGGCAGGTGGATCTATCCTAGGGAAGCCTGGACTACATGAGTTCCAGGCCACCCAGACCTAAGTTGTGCGGGAAGGGTGTGTGTGTGTGTGTGTGTGTGTGTGTGTATGCAGTTCACACAGAGGCCAGAAAGAGGGCATCAGATACTCTAGAACTAGAGTTACTGAAGATTGAGAACCATGGTTGTGATTTAGGGTGAGAAGGCCAGCTAGCCAGTCCCAAGCTTGCTTCAATCTTGGATTTGTGAGACCCCCTCCCCACTGCCCCCAGTGTCTTGACCTTAGCTCTGTAACTAGGTCTTCAACCGTATGCAGGGGTTGCAATTCCCTAGTAGTCTGTTTTGGTGTGCCCCTGAGAGTGACAACAGGCTTTCTGGTACTGCCAGTATGCGAAGACTTGGAAAATGAATGAAAACACCACAAGAGAGGGGTAGATGACTTAAAATGGGATTTACAATTTAGGATAGCAGGATTTAAACAAAACTCTCCTTCTTCAAAGTGTAGTTTCTCCCCAGCCGCCTGGCTGCATGCTCTGGGCGCATCCTTCAGCTTTCCAGCCGATACGAAAACAGGCACCTGTTCCCTCTGCTGCATTTGTTTTGTTTATTTTGTTTTTAAAAAGCTAGTCAAGTGCAGAAGTAAAAGGAAAAATTATGATCAATTGGTATAACCACCTACCTTCAAGAGGTAGACTCCTTGATGCCTTTTAACATCAAAAACTACTTAATGCCTGGGGGCTGGGGGGGAGAGGCTTACACAGAGACTTGCGGAAGACAAAGGATAACTTTTGGATGTCTCAAATCCAGGGATCAACTCGTGTCGGAAGGCTTGGCAATAGAGCCTTCTGCCCTCCCCTCCTGCCCCCCTGACCCCCGCAGCATATTAATAAGCCCTGCCTACCGGGGTGGGGCGAAGCCCAAGCTACGGTTTTGGGGGTAAGAAATAGATTCGTTGTATTTTCCTCAAGGCTCTTGTTGCCTCTTGCCTGAAGGTGGCTGATTGGTCAGCTCTATAAGGGGGCGGTCTCAGGAGTAGCTCCTCCCTCCTGCTGCGCTGCTAGGACCTCCGGGATTCCTAGAGAGGCTGCGGAAGCGCTCTTGGGGGTGGGGTTTATGGTTGAAGCTCGCACTTGGTTACTTCCGGCGGTGAACTGTTGGAAAGTGTCGGACGTACCTCTCTCTTGGGTTGTGAGAACTCCATCTTCCAAGCCTGGGCTGTGGAGAGTTTGATCTTTGGGTCCCCGGGACTTAGAGACTGGAAAGGAGACGGTAGGGCCTTGTGTCCACACTGGAGTCCTGTCCCTAACCTTGACCCGGCCGATCTCTATCTCCGGGTCAGGAGCTATTACGAAGAATCCAGGTCCAAATTTCTGAGTATAACCTTGCTTCTCCTAGAACTAATGAAGTCTTCCGTTTATCTGTCAAGCCCTTATGGCTTGAAAGCCAGGACGAGATATGACCATTTTAATGGCTTTCACTCCTTTTCTGACTTAAGTTTGGCGTATGATCGAGAGAAGAAACGACTCCGTCTAGAATAATCTTGTCCCGTTATTTATATGAGATGTGGTCTTTTTCATTTTTAAAACTGTTTTAAGTTTAGGCCTGATGTAACTTTTTAATGGCCATTTTTTTTGCGTTATTTAAATCTGGACGTAGTCACAATTAGTAGTTTTATGGCTGAAGTGATAAGTAGTCTGTATCTTAAAGTGAATGACTTTGTTGAGTGGTTTTCTTTAGTATAGATGACGTCGTTGCTACCTCTCTTGGCTAATAATAATTCCCGACATACCAGTAAGGTTGTTCACTGCAAACAGTGCCCTTTAGAAGAGCAGAGAACGAACTGGGTTAGTGTAAGGGCAGCCTCTAGAGACTCTGAGTTGGAATGATAATGACAGAATCCAGGGCAGTTATACACGTAGAGCCTCCCGCTGAGACTTCGCAAGAGCAAGCAGACCTTCTCATAGTGAAAGTGGAAGAAGAGGACTGTTCCTGGATGCAGGGATACCGGACTCGGCCAGTGCTTGAGACTTTTTACCAGCGCTTCAAGCACTTCAAGTACCATGAGGCAGCAGGTCCCCGGGATGCTCTCAGCCAGCTCCGGGTTCTCTGCTGTGAGTGGCTGAGGCCGGAGCTGCACACCAAAGAGCAGATCCTGGAGCTGCTGGTGCTGGAGCAGTTCCTCACCATCCTGCCTGAAGAGTTTCAGGCCTGGGTGAGAGAACATCACCCGGAGAGCGGAGAAGAAGCTGTGGCCGTGATAGAGAGTATCCAGAGAGAACTGGAGGAGCGAGGGCAACAGGTGAGTTGCAAGAGGAAACGGGGACACTGAGGAAGGAGCTGCCATGCAGTCTTCAGCCCATTCATATTCTGGCTTTGCTGTTGTTTTGAGATAGTCTCACTATGTATCCTTGGTTGTTCTGGATTTCACTGTGTAGTCCAGAGATCTCTATGTAGACCTGAACTCACAGAGATCCACCTGCTTCTGCCCCCCAAGTGCTGGGATGAAAGGCGTGTGCCACTGTATCCAACATGTAATGAGTTTTAAAGAATAATGTGTTTCTTCCTTCTCCCCTTTGTTTTGAAAATTAAGCTCATGTTCCCTACTTGTATTTCTTTTTTCCTTTTTTAAAAATCCTTTTATTCCATCTATATGAGTACACTGTAGCTGTGTTCATGCACACCAGAGGAAGGCATCAGATCCCATTACAGATGGTTTTGAGTCACCATGTGGTTGCTGGGAATTGAACTCAGGTCCTCTGGAAGAGCAGCCAGTGCTCTTAACCTCTGACCCATCCTCTCCAGCTCCCCCTACTTGTGTTTCTTACCTATTAAAAGCAACAGGTGTTGTGCCTACCTTATGATGGTCATGTTATTTTTCCAGGGTGTTGTCGAGGAATCTGTTGTAGTGACCGTTGAGCCAGGTTAACTCTTTGTTTCCTAGTTTCTGGGTTTCATGCTTTAGAAGTCCTTTTTTCACTGAAGTTTATGAAAACCTTTCCTCAGTCTGTTTTAAACTTGCTTTTTGACAGACTGCTTCATGTCGAATGTGTTCTGATGTGCTGCCTTTATTGTCTACGTGTAAGTGTTCTGCCTGCAGGTATGCATGTGTCCACGTTAACCCACGAGCCTTCGCATCCCTCCCAGCCACAGCACATTTAACTTTAAGGAAATCGTTTTTCCCTTAACTGATTAAAATGCCATCTTTGGGTGCACACCTATAATCCTAACGAGCAAAGGCAGGTGGATCTCTATGAGTTTGAGGGCAGCCTAGTCTACAGAGAGTTCTAGGTTAGCCAAAGTGATAGAGAGAGACCCTGTCTCAAACATATAATGCCATCTTTAGCACTTGTGAAACTTCCGCCTGTTTGGTGGCATCTGTTGCTGATGTTTGTATTTTAGTTTGTTGGTCCTATGGGTTGTTTCTGAATCTGCTTTTAAACTATTTGAGGTATAATCAATTTTGACATTTGGTTTGGTTAATCTTCTTCCCCCTGACTTTTCCTTTTAGGGTTTTCTCCTTAGAAACTTAGAGCTCAAAAAAGAAAAAAAAAAAAAAAGAAAGAAACTTAGAGCTCGAATTGGTGGGGCATGCCCTTAATCCTCACACTTGGGAAGCTGAGACAGGAGGATTCTGAGAAGGAGGACCCTGTCTAAAAACAAAACAAAAAAACCCTGTGAGTTTGCAAGTGTTGAAGGTTGCTTAAGGATTCCACTTGTCCCTCAGAACCCCATATTTAAGTGTAAAATCCTGATCTCCTCATTTCCAGTCTGCAGGTGAGGGATAATTCAGAATTCGAGACCATCCTTAGACTCTTGGTCTGCTTTAGCTCACCCTGTGCCTCAGGTAGCAGGAGAGGGTGGCTGCTGACTTGTAGCCAGACGGCAGCCATCTTGAAGGATCATCTAGCAGACGGAATTATGTCAGTCTTTCTTTGGTTTTCTCTTCTTTTTCTTTCTTCCTTTCTTTTCTTCTTCTTCTTTTTTTTTTTTTTTTGGAAACAGAGTCTCATGTAACCCAAGTTGGCCTCAAACTCTTGATCTTCTTGCTACCTCTCTACCCTCAGAACACTGAGGCAACAGTTATGCCACTATGCCTTGTTTTCCCCAATTTCCTCCCCTTTGCGGGAGGGGATGGAGATTGAACCCAGGCCCACATATGTTAGGCAAATGCTCTACGACTAAACCAAGCTCCAGTCCCCAGACTAGGAGATTCTAAGCATATGCAAGTGCTCTACCAGGAAGTCATATCCCAGTCTCTTTTTACCTTTTGATTTTGAAACAAGGTCTCTTTACATTGTCCGGGCTGGTGCTGAATGTTTTGTACCCCTGCCTCAACTTCAAGGAACTACAGGCTTGTGCCACCAGGCCTGGTTAGAATGTTTAACTTAACTTCTCTTCTCTTCTCTTCTCTTCTCTTCTCTTCTCTTCTCTTCTCTTCTCTTCTCTTCTCTTCTCTTCTCCTCTTCTTTTCTTCTCTCTCTCTCTCTCCTTCCTTCTTTCTTCTTTCCTTCCTTCCTTCCTTTCTTCTTCTTTTTTTTTAAATATAATTGTTTATGTGTACATTGTGAATCTGTGTGTAAGGTACCTGTGAATGTCAGAAATTGATCAGATAGCCTTGAGCCAAGGTGAACCACCTGATGTGAGTGCTGGGTCTCCCAGGAGACCCATCTATACTCTTAACCAACGAGCTAACTCTGCAGCTCTCAGAAGTATTGAGGCGTAAGCTGTTTTGAAACCTAAGGACATAAAGGAAGGGCAAGAGCAGCAACTTTATCTGAATGCAGAGTCTCAATGCTTTCCGGAATTTCTAGGAGTAAACTACACCTTGGAGCACAGTAATTATATATACCCTAGGTTGAATTGAGGGCCCAGAGCAGGATGGTAGAGGTTGGTAACATGCTGAACATGAACTTTTTGAGGCAGGGTATAACCCAGTTTAGCTCAGACCTTGCTGCGATCCTCTTGCTTCTGCCTTCTGAATGCTGGAATTACAGGCATTTGAAACATAAGGTATCCTAAATCTTAGTCGGACCAGCAGTGACTTCCTGGGACACATAATGGCCTTTCCAACTTCCCTGTTCATCTCTCCCCTTCACTAACCTTTACCCACCATCAGCTTCTTAGGGATCCTGGGTTAGAAGCTAGAAGAGGGCATTGGGTTCCCTAGAGCTGGAGTTACAGAGAGTTGTGAGTCAACTAATATGGGTATTGGGACCCGAACTTGGGTCCTCTGCAAAAGTATTCTTAGCCACTGAGGTATCTCTCTAGCATCTTCTATTTTTAAACTTTGTTTTTTTTTTTTTTTTTTTTTTGGTTTTTCGAGACAGGGTTTCTCTGTATAGCCCGGGCTGTCCTGGAACTCACTCTGTAGACCAGGCTGGCCTCGAACTCAGAAATCCGCCTGCCTCTGCCTCCCGAGTGCTGGGATTAAAGGCGTGCGCCACCACCGCCCGGCATTTTTAAACTTTGATTTAATTTATTTTATGTGTATTGTGTCTTTTGCCTGAATGTATGTATGTATGTATGTATGTATGTATGTATGTATACCACATGTATGCCCCTGGCCCACAGTGGTCAGAAGAAGGCTTCAGATCTCCTGGAACTGGAGTGACAGATGGTTGTGAGCTACCACGAAGGTGCTGGGAACCTAACTCTGGACCTCTGGAAGAGCAGCCAATGCTCTTAACCACTGATTCAAGTCTCCTACCCTTTCTTAACATCTTTTAGGTGTTTATGGAATGATCTCCTTCCCTAGCCTCTTAGGCTAAAGTGGCTCCCGCCTGTTCTGTCTTGTAGCTGTGTTTCTTTCCCATCTAACGTGGAGTTCATAATGAAGTATTTGCATGTGGATATGTCTCATGGAAGTCTTTTCTCAGTAGAAATAATCCATACGTGTTAATCTGCTACTTAATGGCTCATTATAGACACAAGTTGAGTATTGGGCCAGGGGATAGGTGACAGTCTAATAGACTCTAATGGGTTCTTTCCCATCCCCATCTATAATTTTGCTGATTGGTTGTAGTTATGGTTGTTAGATTGCCACAAATCCTGAAGTTCTTCCTCAGAAGATGGTACCACCTGGAGCCACGCACGAGTCCTTCAGTCACCAGTTTCTGCCTGTGGAGGCCCAGTCTGATCAAGAGCCACAGAATCTTCTGGAGGAAAATGGTGAGGCTCATCTACTCACTGCAGTCAACAGTCAATGTGACTAGGGCTCTGGTCACATGGGCAAAGGGCGCCTGGAGTGTGGGCGGATGGGCTCCCCTGAGATGACCGAGACTATATCACACTCTCATTCTAAATCCAGAAAAGGGCACAGGGAATGTGGTTCAGTTGGCAGTGTGCCTGCTTCGAATGCAAGCTATGGGTTCCATCACCAGTACCCCATAACCAGGTGTGGAGCACACCTGCGATCCCAGCACAAGAGGTAGAGGCAGGAGGATCAGCGAGGTCGTCCTGGCTGCAGAGCAAGTTTGAGGCTGGGCTGCTTGAGACCCTGACTCAAACACAAACAAAACAAAGCAAAACTAAGAAAGCTGTCCTAGGGACAGGACATAGCTTGGTGGTATAGAGTATACGCTTAGTTCCATTTCATTTCCAGCACTCCCTCCAAAGGCAGAAGTATGGCAAAAATGATGATGAAGATAATGTTGCTAAGTATAGGGGCTATAGGTTTTCAGATTTTTTTAACATTTATTTTTATTATATATATATATATATATATATATATATATATATATATATATATATATTAATACATACACACACACACACACATATGAATGTTTTCTTTGCATGTATATGTACACCGTGTGCATGCATTACCTGCAGAAGCCAGACCAGAAAAGGCATTGGACTGCAGGTGGTTGTGCGCTGCCTGATGTGGGTGCTGGGGACTGAACCCTGGTCCTCTGTAAGAACAGCATGTTGTCTTTAGCCATTGAGTCATCTCTCCAGCCCCACACCATGTTTGTTTGTTTGGAGACAGGGTCTATAGCTGGCCTCAAACTCACTGTTAACCAATGATGACTTGAATTGCCAATTCTGTCACTACTTCTAAAAGTGCAGGCGGATTTCTGAGTTCGAGGCCAGCCTGGTCTACAGAGTGAGTTCCAGGACAGCCCGGGCTATACAGAGAAACCCTGTCTCGAAAAAACAGAAAAGGCCGGGCAGTGGTGGCGCACGCCTTTAATCCCAGCACTTGGGAGGCAGAGGCAGGTGGATTTCTGAGTTCGAGGCCAGCCTGGTCTACAGAGTGAGTTCCAGGACAGCCAGGACTACACAGAGAGACCCTGTCTCGAAAAACCAAAAAAAAAAAAAAAAGAAAGAAAAAACAGAAAAGGAGGAAGAGGAGGAAAGTAAAAGGAAGTTCAGATCTATACTTTCAGCACTTGGAAAGCAAAGGCAGGAAGACTGTAGGGAGTTCTCAGCTTCCCGAGTAGCTGGTACCACAGGTATGTGTCACTGTGCCCAGCAGTATGGACTGGCCTATTGACAAGGTCTAAAGAACACAATTTAGTTTTTGAGGTTTCTTATCAACCAACTTAAGATGATTTTAAGAGTAGGATTAAAGCCAAGCATGGTTGTGCAGACACTTTAATACCAGCACTTAGGAGACAGAGGTGGAGGCAGGAGGATCTCAGTGAGTTCAAGGCCTACCTGGTTGACATAGTGAATTCCAATACAGCCACAATAGAACTACAAAATGAGACTCTGTCTCAAACACAGAGAGAGAGAGAAAGAAAGAGGCAGGGGGAGATTGTACAATATTTATATTGAGAGCTGGGTGGTGGTGGCACACGCCTTTAATCCCAGCACTTGGGAGGCAGAGGCACCACCATGCCCAGCTGGTCCGGTGTTTTGGAAGAGAGAGAATGTAAAGGAGAGGAGAGCACAGGCCCAGAATGGAAAGGCTCCTGAGAGCCAAGGTGAACCTAGTTTGGGTGCCTCAGTTCCTCGGGCAAAGGCAGGGCATGACGGCACTGCAAACCTGACCAGATACTCTCATTTATTCCTTTTCTCCACACTCAGCCCTTCCTGTTCTCCAGGTTCCTTCCGTTCCCCTGAAGGACAGCCAGGAGCTGACAGATTCACTCCTCTCAGCTGGGCCCCAGGTGAGCTAGCACTCCTCTGTCCTCCATGAGAATCTGTACCCCTTCTCAGCCTCCATCCCCTTCCGTCCTAGTTCTGTTACTGGTTACTGTGAGAATATCCTGATGAACACAGCTTATGGAAGAAAGGGATTATTTTAGCTCCCTTTAGGTCTCAGTGAATCACAGAAGTCAGAGAACTTGAGATAGGTGGTCACCTGTCACATTATACCCACAATCCAGACCCAAGACAAAAAAGTGGGTGACCACTCAGCTCTTTCTCTCTCCTCAATCTAGAAACCTAACCTAGGGAATGGTACTGCCCACAGTAGGCTGGTCTATTTCCTTAATTAAGAGAAGATTCCTCACAGGGCTGTCTCCAGGCTGACTTGATCTCAACAGTCCCTCATTGAGACTCACTCGCCTGAAGATTCTAGGTTGTGACACCATGTTTAGCAGATATATTTAACTAGCTGCTGGGTCTATCCTTAGTTGGTACCTTCCGTTCATTCCCCCTGCCCATCCTTTCTGTTTAATACCTGCCCTTTGGATACACAGTCTCTGCCCTGGTTTCTGACTTAGTGGTCCCAGGTTTTGCCCTCCCTGCAGACTGCCCTCATTTGCACACAGGGAGTGGGAATTTAGCAGAGCTCTCCCATTTCAGAAGTTGGTGAAGATTGAAGATGTGGCTGATGTAGCTGTGTCCTTCATCCTGGAGGAATGGGGACATTTGGACCAGTCCCAGAAGTCTCTTAGTAGAGATGGCAGAAAGGAGGATTGTGAGAGCACCACTCCTGTGGGTAAGAATTTTCAACCTGCATGGGGAGGACTCACCAGTTTTGTTACGAATTTATATCACATGTCCTTCACCCATGCATGTTTTAATCACTATAGCTTTACTTTATAGTCGTTTGAAAATTTATTTTATTTTGTTTTATATGTATGAGTGCTTGTCCTCATGTGTGTGCACCAGAAGAGAGTGTTGAATCCTCTGGAACTGGATATGATTGTGAGCCACCGTGTGGGTGCTGGGAATCAAACCTGGGTCCTCTGAAAGAGTGGCCAATGCTCTTAACTGCTGAGCCATCTTTCTGGTTCCCTTTACCTTATAATCTTTGAAAGTAAATCAGCATGTTTTTTACAGATATTTCTAACTTAATAAGGGCGTGATTAAGACTATTAGTATGAGGGAAGTAGTTTTTAAATTTTTTATTCGTTTATTGCTGTGTATATGTGTGATGTGTTTGTATGCTTTTGTATAGAGGTCAAAGGTCAGCTTTTTTCTTCTGGAGACAGGATCTCACTTAGTAGCTCTGGTTGGTCTGGATTTGCTTTGTAGACCAGGCTGGCTTCACACTCACAGAGATCTACCTGCTTCTGCCTCCCAAATGCTGGAATTAAAAGGTGTGTGCTATCACACCTGGCAAAGGACAACTCTGAACCATTTGTTTATCTGCCTTTATGTTTGTTACAGGGATCAGTCTTAGGCTGTTGGGCCTGTGAGGCAAGTGGCTTTATCTGATGAGTCAAATTACTAGCCCTGTTTTTGTTCTATGCGATTATTGTATTTTATATGTGTGAGTGTTTTGCTTGTGTGCATGTGTGTGTGTGCACGCGTGCACCATGTGCATGCTGGGTGCCTGTGGAGGCCAGAAGAGAGTTTTAAATCTCCTAGAACTGGAACTATAGATATTTGTAAGTCACCGTGTGCTCACAACTCAGGCCCTCTGTAAGAGCAACAAATACTCTTAACTACTGAGCTATCTTCTACTGCCTGTTTCTGGTTTTTCTGAGACAGTCTTAGTATGTATACCCAAGTGGCCTTGAATTCCTGATCCTCCTGCTTCAGCCTTCTAAATGCTGGAGTTAATAAACCCAGTAAACTTTTTTTTTTTAACAATCTAGAAGATGCTAATTTTGTTGGTGGTGTTGTTGTTATTTTGTGAGTTTTGTTTTTGTTTTCCAAATAAGGTTTCCCTGTGTGGTTGGCCTGGAACTCACTATGTATATCACGCCGCCTTCAAACTGACAGAGATTGGCTTATCTGACTCCTAAAGTGTTGTGATTAAAAGTAGTTACCACCATATCCAGTGATGCAAAATTTTGGCAGGAAGGTTTTTTTTTTTTTAATTATATGTTTATGTTTGAATGCCTATATGCATGTACATGAACCACGAGCATGCATGCCTGGGGCCAGAAGAGGGCCTCTCATCCCCCCCCCCCCCCCCCGTTACAAGCAGTTGTGAGCCACCTGATGTGGAGGCTAGGAACCAAACTCCAGTCCTTTGCACAAGCAGTACATACTCTTAGTCACCAAGCCATTTCTCTGTCCAGCCCAAGTTTCTTAATAGAATAATCCTTACTCATGAAAAACTCCTGTCTCCATTCCTTTTCTCGTTTCTGGAACAAGATCCTCGAAAAGAAGCATCCTGAGGGAAGAAATGTTTATTTGGGCTCACAGTTTCAGCAGATAGCCCATCATGGAGAGGAAGTCCTGGCAGCTGATCACACCATACAGCTATATAGTCCAAGACCCTAGCCCATGGGATGGTGCCACACACTCAAGGCGGATCGTCCCTCCTTTGTCCAACCTTCTGGAAGTACCCTTACACATCCAGATGTTTGTTTGCTGAGTGATTCTAAATCTAACCCACTTGACACTGAAGATTAACCATGAGCACATAGGAGACTTCCCCGAGTATTTCTTTAGCACAGTGGTGATTACTGTATCTCACTGGCATTAGTTCTTTTTTTTTTTTTTGTCTGATTGATCTATCTGCATGTACACCTGCATGCCAGAAGAGGGCAGCAGATCACATTATAGATGGTCGTGAGCCACCTTGTGGTTGCTGGGAATTGAACTCAGGACCTTTGGAAGAGCAGCCAGTGCTCTTAACCTCCGAGCCATCTCTCCAGCCCTGGCATTAGTTCTTTGTGGCCTTTTCCTTGTCCATTTTCCATTTTCATATCACCAGCCCCACCCCTCTTTTACATTTACTTATTTGTTGGGGGTTGAATCAACAGGTCATTCTTTAGTGACAGGGTCCCCAGGGGGAGGACCACAGGATGCGAAAATAAAGGAGACAGGAAAGCTTGAGATCAGGAGGTCTCACACAAGATGATGGCTCAGGGAAGTTTATTAAGACATACACCATCTTATTTACAGCTTGCTGGAGGAAAAATAGGTCAAAATCAGCAGAACCTTTGTCCCCATACAATGGGACAGAGTCAGCAGGAAGTTAGTCAAGGGAGCAGAAGTTGAATTCTCAGGATCCAGAAAACTTCAGCTCCCTAAGGCCCTGGCCCCAGGCCATTACCGGTCTTCACAAGCCTGTCCCTGGCTTTAGGCAAGTAACTGGTCTTTCTCCATACGTCAGGGCCTCAGGGAAAGTCCTGGACCAGCCTACCCCTTAACAAGGAGCAAGGGATGGTATGCATGTGTCACAGCACACATATGTAGGTCAGAGGACAATTTGTAGGAGTCGGTTCTCTCCTTCCAACATGTGGGTTCCAGGGAACAAACTCAGATTGTCAGGCAGGGCAGCCAATGTGTCTGCCCACCAGGCCATCTTACCAGCCCCTGGATTTTGTTTTGTTCTATTTGTTTGTGCATGTGTTCTGTTCATTAGTTTGTTGAGGTCTTAGAGATGGTCTTATCTAAATGAATTGATTATACATATATTTTGGGCTGGGAACATGGCTTAGCGTGAAGAGTACTCACACCTAGTGGACCTGTGGTGGGTTCCTAGCACGATGCCAGGCATATATACACAGATACACAGATGCACATACATTTTTTAAAAGTATTATATTTAATGCAAATATCTTCATTGTCTCTCTTTTGAGTTATACAGCTCACTTGTGTAATTTAAACCTAACAGTGTTGCTTATAGATTCCAGTTACTATAGAGGCACTTACAAGTTATCAGAGGCATGTGTGAGAGAGTGGTGTATGTGTGCATTGGGTACCCATTCAGGTTACAGGCAAGGTTGTGAGTTCAAATCAAGTCATACTTTTTTACTCTGCCTATTAGCTATACTACTCTTGATTTCTGATGTTTTTATTTTCTTTTTTTGTGGTCCTTCAGGTTGAAATCAGAACCTTTTGCATTCTGTTAATCTGTATGTGCTCTTGTATGTGCCAATGTACAGTGAACTACATCCCCAACTCTGGTCCCATCTTTTTGTTTGTTTGTTTGTTTGTTTTGGGGTTTTTTTTCTTTGTTTGTTTTTTTTTGTTTTTCGAAACAGGGTTTCTCTGTATAGCCCTGGCTGTCCTGGAACTCACTCTGCAAACCAGGCTGGCCTCAAACTCAGAAATCCACCTGCCTCTGCCTCCCAAGTGCTGGGATTAAAGGCATGCCCCTCCACTGTCTGGCTTGTCCCATCCTTTTACTTTTTTTTTTTCCTTTGAGACATGATCTCTATATATCCCTGGCTAGCCTGAAAATCAATATGTAGAGCAGGCTAGCCTCAAACTCTCAAGAGATCTATCTGCTTCAGCCTCCTGAGTGCTGGGAGTAAAGACGTGCGCCATCACTGCCCAACCCCTTTTACTTTCTATGTGGAGAAAGGATCTTAGTTAGCTGTCCGGGCAAGTCTTGAATTCACTATGCAGTCCAGGGTGACCTGGACTTGTGGTCCTTCTGCTTTAGCCTGTCAAGTAGCAGGGATTACAGGCCTGTGCCACCATCCTTACAACTTGTCTATAGTCCCCAGCATTGACCATGCTCAGGGGTTTCCGCCCCCTTCCCTTCTCGTCTCTTCTTAAGGCCACATCCACTCATTTTCATGTGTGCTGATTTCTGATAGCAGCATAGAAGACTAGAATTAAAAAAAAAATACTCATCCCATTTGAAAGTGAATTTGAACAGTGAGTCAATAATTTGAAGGCTGCATCTGTAGTCTAGTTGGTAGAGTGCTGCTTACCATACACAGAGGCCTGGGCTCCACCCCCAGCTCTCTATAAACAGACATGGTGTCTCACAGCTGCCATCCCAGCTGCCCTCCCTTCCTCCTTCCTTCCCTTCCTCCCCCCTTTTCTCACTTTCTTTCATCAGGGTCTCATGTATCTCAGGCTGGCCTCACACTCTGTGTAGCCAAGAATGACCTTGTACTTCTGATCCTTCTGCCTCTACCTCCAGGTGTAGGAGTTACAGGTGTGCCCTACCACAACTGGAGGTGGAACCTGGGGCTTCCCGTAGCTTGACTAACACTGTACCAACTGAGCTACATCCCCACCCATCTGCACTGACATGCATCCTATCCCTATATCCCAAAGCCTTGCTTTCAGGTATCGTCATTTTCCAAAGTCATGCATTCCTAACACATATGTGGTCTCACTCACTTATCATGTGTTCCTCTGTCACTTGCTTAGGATGTGAACACTAGCTAATTGGCCTGTTTTCCTTCTCTCATTTCAGATTATGAGCCCAAGGAGGGCAACTTAGAGCTTGTGGTGCAGCAGACCTCTGATGCAGCTGACCCACACTGGGTGGCTGCAGAAAGCACAGAAAAGAACTGTGTTCAGCGTCAAGAGGCTGTGGAAGTCAGTGACCTGGTGCAGGTGCAGGACATGGTGCAGAGGTGGCAAGTGAATCCCACTTCGGGGAATCCAAGGCAGAAAAGATCTCTGAGCTCAGGTCAGGATGTCAACCGGAAGCAGAAATCGAACGGCGAGCGAGGCCACAGATGCGGTGACTGCGGGAAGTTTTTTCTCCAAGCCTCAAACTTCCTTCAGCACCGGAGGATCCACACAGGAGAGAAACCGTTTAAATGTGGGGAGTGTGGGAAAAGCTACAATCAGCGGGTGCACCTCACTCAGCACCAGAGAGTCCACACCGGCGAGAAGCCCTACAAGTGCCAGGTGTGCGGGAAAGCCTTCCGAGTGAGCTCCCATCTGGTGCAGCATCACAGCGTCCACAGTCGGGAGAGGCCGTACGGCTGTAATGAGTGCGGGAAGAGCTTTGGGCGACACTCGCACCTGATCGAGCACCTGAAGCGCCACTTCAGAGAGAAATCCCAAAGATGTACGTCTAGGGAGCATGTATTCCAGGAGTGGCTAGAGGCAGATGTTCATTTATTAGCCTTGGAAGGAAGAACAGATGGGCTGGGTGTGGTGGTGCTCACCTGTAGTTCTAGCTGTCTGGAAGCAAGGGCAGGAGGAGGAATGTGACTTCAGAACTAGTCCAATGTACATAGCAGTAGGCCAGCCAGAGCTACATAGCAAAGCCCGGCCTCAAACAACAACAACCAAACAAAAGCAAACTAAAAACAACAACAAAAAACCCAGATGGGTTGTGGTAATGGACAAAGATTATAGCTTATTTTATTCTTAATTTTCTTAAATTTTAAAATATTAATTTTTCCTTTTCTTTGTAGAAGGTATCTCATGTAGCCCAGACTAACCTTAGACTCTGTAGTCTAACACTGGAATTTTGATCCTCCTGCCTCCACCTTCTGAATGTTAGGATTGCTTTGTAGCCTGGGCTGGTCTCCAATTTGTAAGCCTCTTGTCTCAGGTTCCCAACTACTGGACTATAGGAGTGAGTCACTACTCCTGGCTCTCCACCACTTCCACACCCCACTCAGTTTGTTCTGTATAGCCCAGGCTGGCTTTGAACTCATGTAGTATAGGCTAGCCTCAAACCCAGTATCCTCCTGCTTTGGCCCCATAGCTTTTGGGGTTACAGGCAGTGCCCACTCTTCTTGACCCAGTAAGTCCCTCCCTTTCTCTTCCTGTTTTACTTTTTATCTTATTCTGTCCATTGGCTCAATACTAACATCCTGTCTGCTCAGTACTAACATCCTGTCCGTTGCTGTTGGAGTTAGTACATCCATATGTTCCCCCCCCCCCTTTTTTTTTTTTCAAGACAGGGTTTCTCTGTGTAGTCCTGGCTGTCCTGGAACTCACTCTGTAGACCAGGCTGGCCTTGAACTCAGAAATCTACCTGCCTCTGCCCCAGTGCTGGGATTAAAGGCGTGCACCACCACTGCCCGGCCATATGTCCCCTTTTGTTCTAACTGTTAAATCAGGTTTTTTTGTTTGGTTGGGTTTTTGACAGCTTATTCTTTTCCTGAGAAAGAGCTGATGAACTTTGTGTTTGGTCCTCTTTTAGGCAGCGACAGAAGAAGTAAGAACACTAAACTAAACATTAAACAAATTCCAGGACTTTCAGAAGCAGACATGGAACTATCGGGAGAAGTCCAAAGGAACACTTGTGAGGCTGAAGGTCACAGTGAGGGCTGTGACCACCAGGATGGGACAGGTGGACAGCAGGGGGTTGTCATGAAGGAAACCCTAGGACAATCCTCTTCAAAGAGGACAGACTGCAATGAGTTCAGCTATGTCCACAAGAAGTCCTCTCCAGGAGAGAGGCCGCACAAGTGTAACGAATGCGGGAAAAGCTTCATCCAGAGCGCACACCTCATTCAGCATCGGCGAATCCATACTGGGGAGAAACCGTTCAGGTGTGAGGAGTGTGGGAAAAGCTACAACCAGCGTGTCCACCTGACTCAACATCACCGAGTCCACACGGGTGAGAAGCCCTACACCTGCCATTTATGTGGGAAAGCCTTCCGAGTGAGGTCCCACCTCGTTCAGCACCAGAGTGTGCACAGCAGGGAGAGGCCCTTCAAGTGCAACGAGTGTGGGAAGGGCTTTGGGAGGCGTTCGCATCTCGCCGGTCACCTCCGACTCCACTCAAGAGACAAGTCGCACCAGTGCCACGAGTGTGGAGAAATCTTCTTCCAGTACGTCAGCCTCCTTGAACACCAAGTGCTCCACGTGGGCCAGAAGAGTGAGAAGAACAGTGTCTGCGAAGAGGCCTACAGCTGGAACCTGACTGTAATCGAAGATAAGAAGCTGGAGTTACAGGAGCAGCCTTACCAGTGCGATTCCTGCGGGAAAGCCTTCAGTTTCAGTTCTGACCTCATTCAGCATTACAGAACTCACTCTGCGGAGAAACCCCAGAAATGCGATGCATGCAGGGACAGCACCGGCCAGTGTCCGCACATAAAACAGCAACAGAAAAGCTGCCCCAGTGGGAAATCCCACCAATGCAGTGAGTGTGGAAGGGGCTTCAGTCTGAAGTCTCATCTCAGTCAGCATCAGAGGATCCACACTGGCGAGAAGCCCTTCCAGTGCAAAGAGTGTGGAATGAGTTTCAGCTGGAGCTGTAGCCTCTTCAAACATCTGCGAAGCCACGAGAGGATCGATCCCTAAGCACCTGCAGCAGGCAGGAATCTGTGTTGGGGAGCAGCCGTGCAACAACATCAAGAATGTTTCCATCTTAACAATCAGAGCTACAGACGAGGGGAGACCCTGTTAGGTAGAGCTTAGCCTTCAGGGACACTGGAGCATCCCCTGAGTGCTCCGTTAGCATCTTTATGCTCAGAACCTCTGGCAAGGTGTGGTGCTCACCTGGACGCCTGGGGAAGCAGAGGCAGGCAAATAGCTGGTTTACATCGCAAGTTCCAGGCCAGCCAGAGCTACATAGTGAGACCCCTGGGTGAGAGACAGACACCTCTGGGCCTTGTAGATGAAGGAGAGTCTTGACATGGCACTGTCTGAGTCATGAGTGCAGTAGAAAGAAGCTTGTTTGTAGTCTCCACCTTGACAGCATAGCTATTCAGAGAGTCATGCCTCGAAAGGAATGCTTCTGCGTGATGCCTATCTTGGTACATCTCTGGAAACGACTGTCCTAACCACTATAGTACTCCAGCCATTGTTCCCATCCTGAGTATTAAACCTTTTGAAAAGACACTGAGTTGAGGTTTCTCTCTTTGGTAAAATTGGGTTTGGAGGATGGAGGGGGTGTGTTCTTGCTGACACTGTCAGTCTACAGCTTCTTCGGGAAGCACAGAATTCTTTTCAGTTCAATTCTACAGACAAATAAGTCACTTAGTCCTTGAGGGTCAATGAGAGGGCTCCACAGTGGGTAAAAGTGCTGGCCACCAAGTCTTGACAGCTTGAGTTCAACCCATAGGAGCTGAATAGCAGGAGAGAATGTCCCACCATGCCCAGCTTCCTGTGGTTTAGAATACCAACTGAGCTATATTGCTAGCCCCATCCCCTTTCCCAAGCTCCACACCATATTACCTACTAAGCACTCTGCTGAGGTCCAGTCTGCAGCTGCCTCACCCAGGACTTCTCCCCTGTATGCCTCTGGCCAGTGACTGACGTGAAGTCTGATTCATTTGCCCCACGGGCAAACGGCTGCTGTCTGAGCTCCAAAACCCTGCTGGAGATCAAGCCAAAGGCCCTTTGTCTTCAAGTGGGATCTGCGCAAGCACATTCCAGTGTGGGTGTATGGAGGTCAGAGGACAACCTCAGATGGAGGTCCTCGCCTTCTACCTTGTTTGTCTTGCTTGTTTTCCACTGCTGTATGTGCTAGGCTAGCTGGCTCTAAAGAGTCCTACCATTCTTCTGTTCCTGTCTCCTACCTCCAAGCAGGAGTATGCTGGGATTATAACTACTTGTGCTACTGCAGCTGACATTTTAAAAGGCTGTTCTGAGGATCTGAACTCAACATTGATGTGAAGTTTGTGCTACACGTACTTTATTCACTGAACCATCTCCCCAGACTCGCCCACTCCCTTCCCTTTCGTTCCTTTCCTCAAAGGCTTTTCTTGAGGAACATGCCCTTAGTGACATGATTCTGAACTACTTGGTCTAAGACAGGTGGTGCCTTTGGTGGGCCTGGCAGGTAACTTGGTCACTCCCCATGAGGTAAAAAGGACTCTGTCCTGTCACTGACCTGTGAAATGCGATGTGACATGGGGTGGGATGACTGATAAGTTCTTTGCAGCTATACTTGTACACTTACATACTGACTAGAGACTAGAGCTTGTGGCTATTTACCCAGGTAGGTGTATTCCATAATAAAGGGAAACACTCAACCCTCCCTCTTCCTGACTGACCCCTTACTCTTACAATACAAGCATATGAGAGTCAGGTTAAGTGGATCCCAGCCCAGGTCTGTATCTGACTCAGTGGGTTGCCTGGGCTTCAGTGAATGATTGATTCTCCACCCTGCCTCATGCATACCCCATATCCTAATTTTGTCCTTTGACTAATTATTTTTAAGATTTATTTAAGTGTGTGTGTGTGTGTGTATTATATCTATGGTGGGGTGCACATGCCTTCAGGGGCCAGAAGAAGGTGTCAGATACCCTACAGTTGAGACATAGACAGGTATGAGCCACCTGACACGGATGCTGGAAACTGAACTCAGGTCCTCTGCAAGAATATTAAGTGCTCTTAATTGTGGAGCCATTTCTCCAACACCTTGTTCTTTAACTTGACTTAATAAAAAAAGTTAACATTTTTCTACCCTTGTCCCAAAACATGTTACACCTTTGTCAGAGAGAGTAGCTTTGGAACATTAAGGAGGAAAGAGAACTAGAGAAATTCTGGAAGGAACAACAGCAACAAGAACTGCACATGTATGTGCACGCGCATGCACACACACATCCCAGATGTATAAAGGTATTTTTTTATTCTCTGGCAGTAATTGTTGTCTTGAAGGCTTACTGCTCCATCAGCTAATCTAGGTCTTGCCTCTGTACAGTCTAACCTAGGCCTAGAATGTTTTCAGCCTCTGAGACTTGCTGCTGGATAAATTCACTCCTTCCTACTTCTTTTCTGAGCTCTGGCTGGGTGGTTCAACTCAACTCTGTCTCAAACTCCTCTCCAAGCTGACTGATTTAATGTGGATTCTCTCTCTCTTAACCTCTTCTGAATTGCCCTGATTGCTCTCATTCTAACTTTGGCAATATGTTCTAATCATCTGGCTTCCTTCTCATTCTCTTGCTCCTTCTGTCTTCATTTGTGTCTATCTTGTTCTTTATCTGCAACCTGTCTCTCTATAACTGTCTCAGTAAAATTGCTCCTTTCTCTTTCTGTTTTCTGTGGTGCTCTCTAAAGTAACCTCTTCTTCCTGTCCTCGTGAAAGTTGGACATATCCTATCTCTTGACTCATTCTGTCAAATCTTTCTCTGATTCGTCACTTTGTCTGCCACTCAATTAGACATCACTTTTAAACATGGCTGCTTCCTTCTACAAACTAACTTTACCTTCATTGTTTGGGATTAAAGGTATGTGCTAAGGGTGTGTCTATTCCTGCCAGAAGGATTATAAGTGTGTTCTAAGGCTGAGACACACCACAACTAGAAACAGCTATTTTCAGCAAATAACCCAATCTTTGGGGGGACAGTGTGATCAAATATCCTGCAACAAACCTGCCCAGTCCCTTATGAGATACACCTTGAAATCAGAATGATTTGTGAGTAGCAAGCTCAAAGGACAGGGATAATATGTCGGATAGTAAACTAGGGGACATTAAGGAGGAACCACAAACTGAAGAAGAACATGTTTGTTCTGGAACAGACTTCAAAGAATTTACCTCTTTACAAGCTGCTTGATCTTCCTTAACTCTCACAGAAGCAGAAGGATGAGTTTGATTATATAGCAATATAAAATACTGCTCGAGGCTTGGTCAGGAATATTCCAAGTATTCTGCTATCACTGATCATGAGGGGATGACTGGCTTAGCCCAACTCATTACTACATCTACATCACTAAACCCTTGGTTCATAATATCATTTTGTTTAGGAGAGAAACTAATATGAAATATGTAGTGCTAAGAACCTGCCTTAGTTACTTTACTGTGATAAAATTACTCCATCAAAGGCTAGAAAGATGGTTTAATAGTTAAGAGTGCATATTGCTTTTAGGAGGGATCTGAACACAGTTCCTAGCACCCATATGAGGTGGCTCATGAGTGCAGTGACTCCAGCCCCAGGAGATCTTGTCACTGTCTTCTGGCCTCCCTGGACACCTGCACTCAACTCACAAACACATATTCCACACCCCAGACACAGGCTCTCACTTTGTAAGCCTGGCTGGTCTGGAACTCTTTTAGACCTCTGGAGTGCTGGAATTAAAGGCATGCACCACCACACCTGGATGCCCATTCCATTTCATTCATTCATTCATTCATTCATTCATTTTGTTTTCATGTATGCCTGCACCCCAGAAAAGGACACCAGATCCATTATAGATGTATAGATGTTTATTGTTGAGGTCTGGGAGTTGGCACAGATACCATGCATACACCAATCTCAGTTAAGCAAGACTAGTGTATTGAACATGCCCCATAATAATGGATGTCCAGATCCACAAGAAGGAAAAACCTAATTGTGGCACCAGTCTGTCCTCAAGGCAGGCTCTTTATATGAAAAAACAGGTGCAAAAGTTTAAAGGCAAGCTGTGAAGTGGTACAATATTTTTGACTAACTGGACAAAGTATTATCAGCTAACCTTTAAGTTGATTGGTCCTGAGTAAGGTAAGGGGTGGTGGACAGGTGGTGAACAGGTGAATTTCAGAACATTGAGATACCAGGGTAAAGTGATTCAGCCATAACTTTTTGGCTTATTAGAAGCATTCTTCAGTGTCAGCTATGGATAATTTCTTTTGGGAAATGGAGTCTGAGAATCTGAACTTAATTTTACCTTACAAACAAAATGGAGACTGAATACAAAATGCCTACAGTTATGTTAAAAGGAGCAGGCCTCAATAGTTATAAGCCACCATGTGGTTGCTAGGAATTGAACTCAGGACCTCTGGAAGAATGACCAACACTCTTAACCTCTGAGTCATCCCTCCAGAGTCATTTCTCAGTTGGGCAGTAGTGGTCCACACCTTTAATCCCAGCACTCAAGAGGCAGAGGCAGGCAGGTCTTTGAGTTCAGGACCAGCCTGGTCTACAGAGTGAGTTTTAGGACAGCCAGAACTACGTAGAGAAGTTGTCTAGAAAACAAAATAAAACAAAACAAAACAAAAAAGAGTTGTTTCTCTCCTTATGGAATCTGGTCATGAATCAGGTCTTCAGGGCTGCCTGCATTGCTTCTCTCATGCTGAAACGTCCTGACTCTGTCTTCCCTTGAGACAGTTTCACTATAACCCAGGTTGGCCTAGGATTCACTATATATTCCAAAATAGACCTCAAACATGGCAGTCCTCATGTTGCAGCTACCCAAGCGGTGGGATTACAAGCATCAGCCACTGAATCAAGCGAGTTGTGTCAGTTTTGATACCGTCGGTGGTACACAGCCACTTGCTTTGGCTAGAGACGTTGCCCATGTGCTGAAGCCCTGATATCCTAGCTGCTGTATCTTCAAAGACATTTGAGGAGTTAAAAAAAAACACGATACCGCTCCCATTACTGTTTTCTGAGAGCAAGGAAAATCTTTATAAACATCATCTCCATTGTCTCAGGAGCTAGAATCATGTCATATGACAAATGACTCAAATAAACCTGGTGACCAGAAAAGTAGTATCAAGGTCAACATTAGGACTCACTTCCTTCTTGGTATGGTAGTACACTTGTATAAACCTAGCACTTGGGAAGCAGAGAAGGAAGATATTGAGTTAAGGCCAGTATGGGGTACTTAAGTTAAGGCCAGTAAGGCGACACAGTGAATTCTAGGATAGCCTAATCTACTATAGAGTGAGACACTGTCTCCAACAAAAGGCTTCCTCCCTGGAATTAGAAAACAGGAGAATAGACGCACTGATACTGGGAAGCCAAGCAGCAGTGAAGAGGAGCAAGGGTTGGAGATAAAACAGAATGACACCTGGGGAGATGCTCAGTTGATAACAGTTTGCAGGAACATACAAATGTCAGTTTCCAGAACCCACATTATACAAGAACAAAGAAAAAGGAAGCCCCACTGTGAGTAGTGGCACACACCTTTTAATCCTAG